TTGGTGGCTCCCCTAGGGTTTCCTCATCTGGGATCCCTGGGGAAGAGGATCAAGTTGGCCCTTGCGAACAGCTTGAAGCACTATATCCCTTCAACCCTTTGAGCGAAATGTGGCAAAAAGAAAGAAAATCTGGGTCTAACCAGCATCATAGTAGTCATTGTTCTCTGTTTTATTCTTTTCCCATTCTAGTCTCTTAACCAAACTAAACCCTGAAAAAATTTTAAACCTCTTGTTGTAGGTTTCAAGCATGTGAACAATGGTGGAGAAGGTTACAATGGGCTTCGGTGTTAAAAAAACCCATTGCTTTCCCAGATCTACATTTTGGTACCAAGAATTATAAGCTATCCTATTTTCTTCTATTACTTAGTTTGTATTATCAATTCTTGGTCTAACCAGCATCATAGTAATTATTGTTCTCTGTTTTAGTCTTTTTTCATTCTAGTCTCTTAACCAAAACTCAACCACTAAAAAAATTTAAAACCTCTTGTTGCAGGTTTCAAGCATGTGAGCAATGGTGGAGAAGGTTACATTGGGCTTTGGTGTTGAAAAAAGCCCACTTCTTTCCCAGATTCATGTTTTGGTACCAAGAATTATATCTTTAAACATTTCACATGTAAATCTACTGCTAAATCTTTGAGAGATTATGCGTACCTTTCTTTGCTCCCTTGTTGCAGTTTCTGTTTCTTTGTTCCCTGGTTAACTGGTTTCAAGTATGTGGGCAATGTTGGAGGAGACTACAAGGTTTTCTCATTGATGTTATCAAGTTAATTATTGAGGAGTTTTGTTCTTTGAAAGATTTTAATTTAATACACCATCAACCCACATGAAAGCTAAATGTGTCAGAAGATTCCTTACTTTTTTCATGGTTCCCATGTGTTACCCATAAGGAAGCTGCCAACATATGGACTGGTCTTGGTCCCTGCGTGTCCCTATGTGTCCTCCACTATTGACTTTTGCATGTTTATATGTACAATAGTTAGGGCTCACAGTAACAGCTATGGATGCTAGAGAATTTGGTCTGTGCTGTGCCTTTTGCATTACTCGTGAGGACAATGGACTCAATGTCATTTTCATGTTGGTCTTTTTTTTTTTTTTTGCCCCCATCATTTTCTTGTTGGTCAGTAATGTGAGAATGAGATAGGAATATGCTAATGAGATTTATCATCCTTTTGAAATGTCTGGAGTATGGATTATACGCATTTTTTTATTATTGTTTAATTAGAAAAAACTATTTAATATTTCTATCTATTATTTTTGGATAATTTTTTTAAAATTAAATAATAAACAATTAAGGAATAAGATGCATCTAGTACTTTAAAGTATTTTTTTAAATGCGTTAAGCATTTTAAAGTACTTTTTGTGTTTATTTTTAAATTAATAATTATATAATTGGACAAAATAATTAATATACTCATTTATTAATTAATAATTATTTTTAATCTATTATTTGTGAGATAACTTTTTTTCAAATTTAAATAATAAAAAAATTAAGGGATAAGGTGAATCTTAAGTATCTAACAGTTTAACTTTTTTTGTTTTTTGGTGTGTATAGCATTTTAAAGTATCATTTTTTGTGTTCATTTTGAAATTAATAAATTAATAATTATATAATTGGATTAATAATTAATTATAGTAAACTATAAATTATTTATAATTATATTCTAATTTTAGAAAATTTTATTATTATAATTTGAATTTTATAATTATAAAAATTAGAATTGAAAAATTAAAAAAAAATACTTCTTTTGTTCTTAATTATAAGAGCTAGAGGGGGGTTAGATATGTTTTTAAACATAAGACTTTAATCCATAATCTCTCAAAATTATCTTTATAATAATTATATTCTAATTTTTAGAAAATTTTAGGGTTAATACACATTTTGGACATTCAAGTTTTTTTTTAATTTTGGTTTTGATTCTTCGAGTTTTAAATTATAAGATTTGGTCCCTCGAGTTTCTTTTCGTCTAAAATATTGGCCCTTATAATCTAAAAAAATTTAGATTATTTTACCTCCTGATAAACTAAAATCTATAGTTTAAAACTTGAGGGATCAAAACTAAAATAAAGACAAATTTGAATGACTAAAAATTATATTAATCGAAAATTTTATTATTATAATTTGAATTTTATAATTAGGAATAATTAATATACAAGTCCTTATAATTTCAACTGATTTTTAATTAGATCCTTATAATTTTTTTATCAAATCCTTATAATTTCACATGTTTTTAATCAGGTCCTTATAATTTTTTTCTTTTTATCAGATCCTTATTATTTACCTTATTTTTAGTTAGGTCTTTTTAGTTTTTATTCTTTATTCTATAAATAATAATATTCTATAAATAATAAATTATTATAATAATATTATGTTAATATTCTTTTAAATTTTTAGTTATACATTATTTATTTTTCAATTCTGATTTTTATAATTATAAAATTTTCTAAAATTATAACATAATTATAAATAATTTATAATTAAATGTAATTAATTATTTTGATTCATTATTAATTACTAAATAATTATTTTTTTGACCAGGGAATTACTAAATAATTACGAAAAAATAGCAAAAAAAACCCCTTCAATGTATAAAATTATGATTTAGGACCCTCAATTTGAAAAATGACAAATAAAGACTCGGTCTCATAGTGCAAATATAAAATTTTAGTGAAATATTTGAAATGCCCCTCAGTCAAGTTGTGATTTGGTTTACTTAAGTTGTTATTCGTTAAATTGAACTTGTTATTTCCCATAATCAACTTATCATTTGGTATACTCCTAGCCAAGTTGTGATTTGATCTTCTGAAATTATCATTCGTTAAAGTGAACTTGTCATTTCCTATAGTCAACTTGTCATTTGATTAAGGGACATTTCAGACACTTCACTAAGATTTTATATTTGCAATATAGGACTAAGTCTTTATTTGTTATTTTTCAAATTGAGAGTCCCAAATTATAACTTCACATATTAAGGGGCCTTTGTTTGCTACTTTTCCTAAAATTTATCACCTGGACTGGAAGGCTCAAAGGCATCAAATTTAATTTTAGTTGTTCCGACAGGCAACGGCTCCTCTGGGTGGTGGGGGCGTTCCTGTTCACACGCCAAATAAATCCACTGTGCCATTTATATATATCATGTTGATATGCTTAGCTATGGAGATTTCGGTGGCCACTTGCTATTTTAGTTTGACTGCTTCTGCAATTGGCAAGACCTTGCTTGTCTTTTTAGAGGTCCTCCAAGTGGAAGAGTTATCGTTTCCTGAGGAGAGGGGTCCAAGAATCGCGTTCTTCAATCTCGCTAGCTGAAGGTGCCTTTTTTTTTTTTTTTCGGTTCTAGATTTCCGTACCGTTCCTGCTGCTTGTTTTACGCAATTATCGTGTCAAAGAATATGAGAACAAATTCAGCTTCGTTGAATCTTTCTCCCATTGCATCTGACAAAGAAAACGGTGTAGGTTTCTTTGAATTTTTTTTTTTTTTTTGGTTCTTTTTGTTATCTTCATTTGAGTCCGCGGAGACTCTGTTTGCTATTTGTTACGAGACACATTGAAATGAATTGGTTCTAATACTATGTATCGGGGATTCTTAAACCGTTTCGGATTTATTAAATCCAATCATACCAGTGCTTCTGGCTGGGTTTTGATCCATTATACAGGCTCAATTTAGTTCATTGTGGAGGGATTTTTCAGGGCTTGTTTGGGAGCATGTAGGGTGAAAATTTTTCATACCGTCGTTCGGGAGGGTAAAGTCGCCCGGATCCATCAATGAAGTGATAACTTTGAAGTTAAAACTATGAGTAGTGAATTCTCAACCTTTTCCCCCCATTAAACTTCCAGTACTGGTGTTGAAACTTCCCTCATTTCCCTCTCATTTCATGTATTGAAAAAAACAATTCATTAGGGTAATATTGAAAGTTTAAATCTCTAACCCACTCCGTAGCAATAATTACTTTTGCAATGGAACCTCTTTTCACTCCATTCGTCCACCCCGCTCCACTCTTCTCAATAAAATTAGAAAATAAGTAACCTTGATGAAATCAGCAATAAACTCGTATAATGGTAATGTTGCCTTATTTAACTGTCTGTTAATCTATAACTGCTAGGAAGTAGGGCAACATATGAGATTCAAGGATTGCTAGAACTTCTCAAATTTTCTGATGTTGGAGGCTTTTTTTCATGCTAATTTTCTTAGAGTTCTCTGGGCTGCTCTGCTTATCCTTATTATGTTGATTTAAGGAAATATTTGATATGAAATAATAATAGGGAAGGAAATGAGAGTGGGAAAACTCTCTCCCGTAAATATGGGAAGCTTTCTTCCAATAAAGTCAATTTGCCATCTACGAAACGTAGTACACATACTTTTTCTCATCCTTTCTTCAAATATTTTGTCCATGTACTGAATGCACCCCTTAAATATATGAAGGCATTTAGACACCTATCTAAGACAAAATCGATGCTTAAGTGATAGCTTCAGAGTTGAGTTCTTAAAAACTAGTCAAACCCTGGTTTGCAAATCAGGAATGGATGATTGGCATAGATATTCAGATGTGCAGAGGTGAAACAAATGCTGATACTAAATACTACCTCTGGTTCTTAATATAAGACCTGGTTTGACTTTTATTTTGATCCTAAATATAAGACTCAAATCTACTTTGTCTCTTATGTTTATGCATTTTTTCCAAGTTAGTCCTTTTAATAATGGTAGTTCTAACTAATACAATTGATTAGCAAGGACATTTTGGGAAAGACAACACTTATTTATTATAAATAACTAATTTAACTTATTTCCTTAATCTCCTCAAATTAGTCAATTAGCTCTTATAATTAGGACTGGAGGTAGTATCTATTCCTATGGATGATTTCTCAAAAGAAACCAAATTTGAATTGCAGGAGGAAGCAGAAAGTTATATGGATAGCACATCACTTAGCAAGAAGACGTGTTCTGAGTTGGCACGTGAATATCTTATTGCTATCTCTAAGGCTTCCTCTGATACGACTCTGGATTTGATCTCTGTGTCTAAAAGGCAGAAGGCAGATGGAATCGCTCTGTCAAATGGTGATGTGGATGACAAGTTTAGGTCTGAACTGATTTCAATTGCGTATACTGAATCACCTGATATGAAAATCTGATCAATTTGAATGTGGATCTCAGCTGCAACTCCAAAACTGGCAGTAAAAATGTGTCACTCCTGGTTTGTCTGGACTGAATTTATTTTTCTATTGTTACTGAATTTATTATTCTGTTGTTCCTATGTATTCTTCACATCCGAGAAATGATACTCTGATCAATATCGTGTTTTGATTACATTGTCTAATGCTGTGTTAACAGTTTTCGCCCAGTTTTATGTTGATTCACGTCTGATGATGAGATGAAAGGAAGTTACTGTTATTTTCGTGGTATGGACAATTTGGAACAGGCAAACAGCATAACACTAGAAAAATGGAAGTCACTAATAAAGCTTGAGAGAGAAGTTAAAAAATTGCATTCCTCAAACTTTATCAACCAAAATATCTATAAATATACTCAAGTCTTGCGTCAGGCTTTGAGTAAACTTTTCAAGTTGGTATTATAATCTCTAAGAGCTCCAATCAATATAAAAGTTACCATAAATTTTCTCAATCCTGGTTCGCGGCCAATTTTTTTTCCTTTTAAACTGTTGCACGGATGATTAGATCCTGTTGCACTAGAAGTTTAAACAATCTTCTTTGCTTTTTCAATCTGTTTACACAGCCATACATATATAGAACTGGCAAATTGTGAACTTCTAGGTCATTTTGATGAGTAGAAACAAACAAACAAAAATGATATAAATGCTGATTCTGAAATACAAGTATCTGAAACTGCCTCTGAAAGATGCAGGATCCCAGATGTTGAATAAATTTTGATCGGGCAGATGAAGCAAAGTGGCGGGTAAATTGCCAGCTCTGCTTTCTCTTTATTTCACGTTGAAGATACTTCATGTTGATATTCTGCTGACTGTTGCGTCTGATCTGTCGTGATTTTTGTCTGTGATATAAACCAAGGGAGATTGGTTAGCCGCCTTCTCCAAATTCTGAGCTCTGGGATGTTATTTAATGCCTTTCACTGACTATTGAATAATCTAAAGCAGGTCTATTTCTTTGGCTTTGGCTAATATATATCCGGACATAGATCGCTAATATCCGCTTGCAGTTTGAGTTCACTTTTTGTTTCTTCTGATTGCATCAGTAAACTTGCTTCTACCTCCATGCTTTCAGTATTAATTATTAAAATCTGCTAGCTTTGTGAATGATCATCTGCAAAGAAATTGAATGTGGACAAACTTTATATCGTAGGCCCTGGACTTCATTTACTGCAAGAAACACAATTCAGTTCCAATTCGCGATGCACACCAAAAATCGTGTTATTCACATGTTCTAGAGGTCAAAATTTTCATATTTGTTTCCTGAGTTCGCTTAAATGGTGCAGCCCAATGCAACAAGAATCACAATTAACCAGTTAATAATAAGTACAATAGGTTTTTTTTCATTAAAAAATATATATTTTTTTTTTCAGTGGAAGTATGTTTTTTTTTTTTGGTAACAATAAGTATGTTATTTAAGTAACAGAGCATTTATGAAAGCGCACATGGAAGACATAACAATTTCCCACTTCGGCTACGTAATTAAATGATAATGGTCCCAAAGAAAAACTTCTCGAGGTATAATCTTACAAAATTGTGTCCGCAATAAATTGGTTCACTATGAGTTAAATATATCTTATATTAAAGACTGAAAAAGAACCTAGGACTAAATTTAATCTTTCAACTAGTTTTTATATTAAGTAACCAACATAGTATTTGAAAAGAAAGACGTTAGAAATGCAGTGGACCACAAAAGCGGGTTATATGTTTAATTAGCCATATGAAATATGAACCAATTGTCCACATATATCACGAGATTTGGAAGTTTACTGAAATATGATTGCCGCGTTTTATTATTGTATGTGCATTATCTTGCAACCAAGTGGTTAACATGCATGTCACGCGGGAAGACTAAAATAAGTGGTTTGCCAAAACATTTTAAAATAATCCCAGGCAGTTTCTGAAAAATAATTTATAAATATTGACTCGAATACTTTTGAAAATGAGAATTTCAATTGCGAACTGAGAGTTATATTTGAAATTTTAATAACTTATTATTTACCGTTGATGCTCCAAAGTTTACAATTTCATCTTTCCACAAAAATTTTGCTGCAGGTCCTAATTGTTACTAAAATTGATACTTTTTTGGGATGTACCTGTCATGTTCCTTAATCTTAATGCTGTCCCATGAGAGAAAATTAAGAAAATCAAGTATATTACTTTAGGTAACATAGGGAAGTAGTATTTTATTTAACTACCATATTCCTCGCTCACGGAATATTAGCAGCTTATAGTTGGTCAAACCAAGCACTACACAAGAATAATTAGTTGTCCAATCGAATCAAGAAAATAAGATATTAATTAATTTAATTAAGAAATAACTCGTGATATGATCCTCTCACTTGTTAATTTTTAAATTTGACATTTTCAATAGAGCACACCAACATGCACTCATAAATAAATCACAATAATTGAGCTTCATAACGCATATGAATATTATTATTACGTTTAATCTGATTATTGTGAATTTATATATACCACAACTAATAACATTGTTATGGTTATTAGAATGAATTATGCTTTGATAAATCAATAATTGAGTATATGACGTGGATTTTATGGTACACAATCAAAGAATTAATGACCAACTGTATAATACAGTGCTTCCTTCAGTCCTAATTATCTGACAAAATTAACTTTACAAAGTTTAGGAGCGGAAGTTAATCCTTAAACTTTTTTAAAAAATATGTTATTTTTCAATTTTAGATTCAGCCAAATTAGTGACCAAAAGTTGGCCAAAAAAACAAAGACCAAAAGCATGCCAACAACTTATTGCAATTAAGGAGGGATAAGATTTAACCCAGCAAAAGAAAAAAAGAAAAACCAAAAGCATGCCAAAAAAAAATAAATACTGCATCTTTGTTCAATATCTATAAGTATAACCCAGCAGAACTTAAAATTTTTATCCTATAAGTGGGACAAAAGGGATCGGATCTGAGTACTAACTCGCATCCTTAATATAAGAGCTACTTACCTTTGAGTAAATCAATAAAGTTTCTTAAGTTAGTTATTTATAATAAATAGGTGTTGTCTTTCTGAAATACTCTTGCTAATCAAGTATATTAGTTTTAAAATTTAATGAAATATTTAATATATGCAACTACTAAAAGACTATTTTGAAAAAAAATGATTAAATATGAAAGACAAAGTAGATTAAAGGTCTTATATTATGACCCAATTAAAAGTCAAACTAGTTTTTACATTAATAAGAGTAAATAGTACTACTTTTATGGCATTACCATGACTAACGACTCTGCAATGAGCTGATAATTAACTGCTCCTAGGAATTATAAATATAACTACATTTTTTTGCCAACTATAAACATAACCACATTACACAATATTTTGTGGATTTTATTCACTATCATTATTATTAATCATAATTATCAATGATGATTTAATTTATTACATAATGGAATCCTGGTAAAAAGTTCATTTTTTTTCTAATTATGATTTACTTCGTAGAAAAAGCCTGATTTAATTAGGTTTTGATTAATCCACAATTGATCCTATGGAGAATCCTAATTCACAGTATCTTCAATCTATTATTACATAGACACCAATCAATTCATGTTGAGTATATATAAAACCCCTCTCAAGGGAATATATATATATATATATATATATATTCTCATAGGTTACAGGGGTTACTTCCCACAACGTATTGAATTAAGATTCAAATCTAATCTTCATTGATAAATGTGTCTATATTTAGCAGTTACTTCGAATAATAGGATTGTCTTCATAAATCAATGAAAAAGAACTGGTATATAGATACACATGAATCTCAAAACCTGCAGAGAAGGAAAAGATAGACTCACCAGAAGAAGCATTGAGAAAATGGGTGCTAAGATAAAAGCTGAGATCATCTCAAGAAGATGTATCAAACCAACGTCACCCACACCCTCCCACCTTAAATCCTTCAAACTCTCCCTTTTAGATCAGCTTTCCCCAAACATCTACGGCAACATTACCTTCTTCTTCCCTTACCATGCCGGCGCCGGTACCGTTGACCGCCCCCTTCTCTCTGATTTCTCCACCAAATCCCAACTTCTTCAGATCTCCCTTTCCCAGATGCTCACCCGTTTCTATCCTCTCGCCGGCCGCCTCCGAGACCCGGCCACCGTTGACTGCAACGACGATGGCATGTTTTACATTGAAGCTCAAGCGACCACCCATCTCTCACATTTCCTCAGCAACCCAGATCCCGACATTCTCGAACAATTCCTTCCCTCGTCCGACAAGCAAACCATGTTATCGTCAAACGGTTCCTTCTTCCTTGTCCAGTTCACATTGTTCGGCTGTGGTGGGACTGCCATAGGCATTTCCATCAGCCACAAGATCTCCGATCTCGCAACCTTCCTCACAATCCTTCAGAGCTGGACCGCCATCTGTCGGGGAGCCAAAGAACCTTCTGTTCCGGACTTGGGCCTCGCCGCTTCCCTTTTACCACCGCGAGAAATCCCAGTGATGTCCGCTTCTGTAAGCATCATTGCCGACAAGTTCACTGCGAGACGGTTCGTTTTCAGCGCTTCCATGGTGGGAGAACTTAAACACATAGTCGAAATCGCTCTCGGAAAAGACAAGAATAATCAGTTCCGTCCGTCGCGCGTGGAGGTGGTGCTTGCATTGATTTGGAGATGCGCCATGCTATCTCACCGTCCCAAAACGGGGTCGTTTAAGCCGTCTGCGCTGTTCCAAGGCGTGAACCTTCGTCCCCGAACGGAGCCGCCGGTGCCTGCGACAGCGATCGGGAATCTCGTGTGGCCGTTCATGGTGATGGTGGAGGAAGAGAAGGAAACAGAATTGCATGAGTTAGTGAAGAAGATGAGAGAGGGAATGAAGGAGTTCATAGAGAAGAAGGCAAGCAAATTCAAAGAAGGAGGTGGGTTTGAAACTGTAATGGAGTTTCTGAAGGAGAGAGGAGAGATGTTGAAGAGGAAGAAGGAGACAGTGATTTATAAGTGTACGAGTTGGTGTAGGTCGGCATTGTACGAGGTGGAATATGGGTGGGGGAAGCCTGTGTGGATGTCGAGTGTCAATAAGATGATAAGTAACACAGTGGCTTTAATGGATGCGAAAGATGGTGGAGTTGAAGCCCTAGTGACTCTGGATGAACAACAGATGAAGATCTTTGAACAGCATCAAGAGTTGCTCCATTTTGCTCAGCTTAATCCTAGTATTGATCTTCTTCCACATTCTGACACTGCTAAACCTAAACCTTTTATCAGAGCGGCACTGTGATATGCTTTTTGATGTTCTGAAGAACAAAGAGCAGGTATATGATGTTTGATATTTCAGATCGGTTGGATACATTAACGACAATGAATGTTTTGTTGCGTGACATATTATGGTGCGTGAAAGTTTAATTTGTAGCAGTCCATGTGCGCTTTTCAATATTGTCATTTTAATTTCATATATGAAATATTATGATTAGGATGCATAGATATATGACTGTCTCAAAGCCAGGATCTTTTATGCGATCACCAACTTAAGCAATGTGATTCTAAAATTGGTAGGATTTGGCAAAAAAACAATCAAGCACTTCAACTTTCAATGCCATATTGATATGCATTTACCTTTTATTGTATTTTATTTTTCCCATTAAAAATTTGCTCCCAACTAGATTCTGTGACTATATGTTTACTTTCTTGATTTGAAACACGGTGTAAGTTACATTATTCATAAATTATAATAGTGTAACTTCTTATAAATTTTGTATCGGTATCCACTACCGGTAAGCGTGACTAACCCCTTCATCACAGGATTTAGGGTAAACGGCTGGTCATGAATGCTTTCTATATCTAAAGGTGGGATTTGAACTCCCACCAATTGGTTAAGGGACCAAGTGATATAACCACTAGGACACACGTGCGTGGTTATATTAGAACTTTTATATAAAGCACATTTTAATTAATTAGTGACACTTAACACCTCTAACATAAATAATATATATCCTCAGTTAAACTCTCTTTAATATGTGTAACACACATGTCTAGTTTTAAATTTGTGTGTTGGGTGTTTTTCTTTAAATTTTCTCCCTCTTTTCTTCTCACTTTATAGGTAGGTCTCGCGTTACAGAACCAATAGCCATACACTGAATAAACAAAAGTATTTTTAAAAAGCACTTTTTTCCAAATCAAGACAAACTTCTTCACATATTTATTTCGTATACTGTAAAATTATTTTTAAAATTATAGTTTGGTTTTTATCTAAACAATCCCAGAAAATGATAAATATAATCAATAACATGATAACCCTTTCAATTTTTTTTTTTTTCACAATCATAGAACCCAATAATGAATCCTGTTGTACTTGACCCAATAAGTCATAATGGAGCCATATTCGAACCGAGTTGAGACTGATGCCTGAAAAATTCAAGCCCAACATTGACTTGAACCAAGCATTAAGCTGACTGCAATTTCCACCAGACCCAATATTAATATGTTTTCATCCCTACCCAGCCAAAAACGTTGCACCTTACAGCACGCCAAGTCAAAAAGTTCCATCTTCAGTATTTTTGCCCGAGAATCAACGAAACAATTACTCAACATTAATCTCAGATAAAAAATAAATACAGATATATCTAAAAAATTTTGTATTTATATGTTAAAATCGCATATTCACAAGTCAAATTTTTATATCTATTGCTCAAATTACTTCATTTATAAGTCAAATTAAAAAAAAATGAATTTCTTAATTAAGACTTTAGCATTTAACTTTCTTTCACTCGGGACTTTTTATGGGTAGGTATAATTTCTAAAAATCAAACTTCATCAATGGTTACAGGATAAAACTTACACCCTCCCACTTACAGGAGAGCACTAATGCTAATAGGCAGCAAGACCTTTGACACGTGTGAACAGCTTTCTAACAAAAGTAATATAGAGAAAAATTAGGTCATTATATATTGTCCTGGTTAAGTTTTACCTGTGTAGAGTATTCCTGTCAACACAGGAAATTAATTATCTACGCATAGTCTATACAGTTAAATTAAATGCCAAACATATATATCATGATACATGTCGTATAATATGCATGATGAAGAATATGTTATTCATTCATTCCTTTTCATATAATACTATGAGGGGGTGTTTGGGTAAAAACAAACTATGATTTTAAAAGCACTTTTATGGTATACGAAATAAATATGTGAAAGAGTCGGTTTCGTTTTGTAAAAAAATACTTTTATAGTATAATGTGCGTGCGGAACATGGCTGAGAAATGCATGTGATTTAGACTTTGGAATTTTTAAGGTGATTCTTAGTCCGTCTGTGGCTTCCTACGTCGGATTAAGCCTTTATTGTTGTTGTTATCAGTATTGGTGCTATTCCTCTAATCCTAAATATAAGACTTATTTTGTAGTATAATTTACATTACAAAATGAATTTTATATTTAGGACTGGAGAAGTATTATTATTATAAATTGTTGATACGTGTTTGCATAAATCTTAGATGTCCCATACGTTTACTTGTTTAATCAATCATAAATAGTTGGACACCATATGTAATAGGAAAATTGTATTATTCGTGAATTTTATCAGTTTATTACTATCGACATGTAAGTTCGAAAAGATTATGTTTAATATATAAATGGTCAATGCATTTGGCACAAAAGCAGGTAAGAAGTCGTATCTAACTGAAAGATGATATCACTTGTAAAGTTACGAAACTATACAATGTTTACGTACCGTTGGGAGCATGACGATTATATACCAAAAAAATTAATTTGCTGACAGTAAAATTTTGAAGAATCTCATTAAAAATGAGTTGTAAATATTAATCCATGAAATTACAAGCATAAAATCCATCATTGAGATTTTATAAGTTACTTCTAAACACAACCAGTTCCTAATTGTCTTTAAGTTAATCTTTTGAGATTTAAATTCCAAGCATCTTCTACATTACCGTGCTAATATTAGTAATAATTCAAAATAATAACTTATATATTATGATTAAATTTATTTATTTAATTTTTATGTAATTCAAAATAACTTGTATAAGTTTATGATATCATCATCACTTTGTAATAGTACTCACACTGTGAAGTGACGATAGTGATGATAAAGAAGAAGAAAAGGAATAGACAATATAATTATGGGGTAAATTACCTATAGGTTTTGGGTAAAAATTTATATATAGATAGATCTAAACATTTTGCATTTACAAGTCAAACATGCATATCTACACTTTCAAATTTTGATATTTACAATTCAAATTAGTCATTTTTATTATAAGTCAAACCTGAACATTCATAATTAACTCATAAATTAAAGTCTTAAAATTTATTAGTATTCAATTTTTGGACAATACTTATGTCAAATTTCTTATATCTGATCCATCAGGTCAAGTTCTCTAATGACACATGGTTATATGTCATATTTTTAAAATATTATTAGCTTTAAAATATTATTAGCATTTAATTATAAATCTACATAAAAAAAACACATGGTCATGTGCGATTAAAACACTTAATATAATGAATATTATGAACTTGACCTATTTGTTCCTTAATTTTTTTTTCATTTGAAACATATGAATAATTTTTGCCACAATTATATTACGGTCAGTTTGGCTCAATAAGAGGAAGGGGAGGGAAAGAATTTTAATGGAGGGAAAGGGAGGGGAGGAGAGTGAAAATATTTTAATAATACTTTGTTTGGATTTATAAAAAGGGAGGGGATGAGAGGAGTTTTAATATTACCTTGTTTGGTTCATAATGGAAGGGGAAAAATATTTTAACATAGATAATTTTGCCCTTATTTTATTTAATATATGAGTATAATGATGACAACATAACAAAATATAGGCATAATAGTCACAACATAACAAAATATAGGCATAATGGTCGCAACATGGCAAAATATTATCATTTCCCTCCAAATCCTCCTAATTTTGAAGGGGAGGTTGAAGAGGAAAGGGGAGAAAATTTTTTAAATTTTTCCTCCCCTCCTAAAATTTGTATGTTACCAAATAAGAGGAAATGATTAAAATCCTTCCCCCCCTCTCCTCCTTCTCCTTCTTCCCAAATCCCTCGTACCAAACACATCCTTAGGGTGTTTGTTTAAAGATTTGACTTGGAATAAAGCGGCGCTTGCATGTGCTAAGAAAATTAACATACTCATAGGTATTTTATAATTAAGTGTGTATTGCAAGTAATTTTATAATAGGACGTTTCCTCATGGGATAATAACAGCTCATTGCCCAAATCAGCAAGCTAATCACAATTCAGCCATCAAGTAAATGAATTTTTTATTTAGAAAAGATGTAGTAAGAGTAGAAAACTAACTCCTTTAATTTACATATCTTAATTTATGTAAAGATCTTTTATAATTAATTATTGTAAAGTTGAATTAAAAAATAACATAAAAAAGAACTATATATAACTACACTGTCAATTTTTTTCATTCTTTTTTATCCAAGTTTTATAAATACACAATATAAATGTAATGTACGTCCTAACAAAAAATTGGGAAAATTATGATTTTTAAGTTATAACAACAATAAATACTAGCTAAACAAATAACCGAAACAATAATAAATTTAAGGTTTTTCTTAGTAAGAAAAAGTTTTAAATTTATTACTGTTCATAACTTTTTTTAATCTCTCACAACCTAACAAACCAATGTTTGAATTTTTACTGAGAGGGATGCTAGCATTTAGTAGTCGATAATATCTAGAATAGGATTTCCTCTAATGAGAAGATAACTATGCTTAGGGGATAAAAAAAAAAAAAGCTCATTTGTTCTTGTTCTTAATATATTTGTGTGTGTGTAATTCAAGATGTCTTGTGATTTGAAAATTTTGATATTGACATTCAAATATTAATATATTCATCTCTACACTCATATTTTTCCTTATATAATTATATTTCCTTCCATATTTACGTAAATAACAGTGATTTATACTCCTGTAAAAATAAAAAATTTGTTCGGCCAAAAAAAAAGTAAAAATAAAAAATTTGAATAAAGGGAAACTTTAATTTATGACTTTCTTACCACACAAGTTAAGTAACTTGTCAAAGAGATGACGGCGAATAATATTGCGCACACTCATAAATAAATAACACTATGCTCCTCAAATTAAATACTACATGTCTTCTAGTGAGCAATATAATTAATGCATTTATGACAATTAATATATAGTTCAGGTTGACTCGGTTATTTAATTAAGAACGAACTAATTAATGGCGGGGTAATAATTGTTCAGGAAAATTACACTCAAATCTCGAACAACAAATTTTATTACTGCAAAATCCCTTAAAATGTTCAAATTAATCTCAAGTTCTAAGAAACCTGTGGGTAAGAAATTGTCATTATAAATGAATCATTCTGTCCCAATTGACATATAGATTGTCACTCTTAACACCCTCTTTTGTTAATTCTAACTTGTCTACTCATCGCAACTTGTTATAACCCAATCGACAAGTCAAAATGCTCTAAATAAAAGCTTACTATGGTCTAATTGACAAATAAATGAGTTGGAATTGATAAGAAAAGATGTTGAGGATGATGACTAATTTACAATTGCAGTCTCCGCACAGCTCCCTTGTACCTTGAGTTTAATTTGAACTTCAAGTGACTTTATAATAATAAAATCTCTTAATTGGGATTTAGTGTAATTTTTCCTAATTCTTATGCAAACGTCAAATTTTTAACACAATACATCACATCGGTCGATTATATTTACATATAAACACAAACACAAACCCTGATCATAACCAGAGAGGTCCGGAAGATTGAATCAAAGCATTATAAACGTCGAGGATCCCCACGCAAGAAGCACTTGAAGAAAATGAGCACTGCCAGCAGTACTGACATCATATCTAGAAAATGTATCAAGCCAACTACATCCACACCACCGCACCTTAAATCCTTTAAACTCTCCCTTCTTGACCAGCTCTCCCCTAACATCCATGGTAATATGACCCTCTTTTACTCTTCCAACGCCGCCACTGGCGGTGGCGCTGGCGGCCCCCTCTCCGACTACTTGGCCAAATCACAAATTCTCCAAAACGCCCTCGCCCAAACACTCACCCGCTTCTACCCTCTCGCTGGCCGCATCCATGACTCGGCCACCATCGACTGTAACGACGATGGTGTCTTCTATGTGGAAGCTCGAACGGACACTCATCTTTCCGACTTCCTCAGCCACCCGGACTTTGATACTCTCGAACACTTCCTACCTTCTACCGACAAGGAAACCATGGAATTGTCGAACGGTTCTATGCTCCTCGTACGGTTCACGTTGTTCCGTTGCGGTGGGACTGCCGTGAGCATATCCCTCACCCACAAGATCGCCGATATAGCAGCCTTGATCACATTCCTTCAGAGCTGGACCGCCGCGTGTCGTGCACGTCCTGAACCAGGCGTTCCTGACTTGGGCCCCGGTGCTTCTCTCTTTCCTCCGCGAGACATTCCGGGGATGTCGGCATCGGTAAATATCGCGGCCGAGAAGTTCACCGCAAGACGATTCGTATTCACCGGTTCCAAGGTGGGAGAGCTCAAGAGCAGAGTGGTAACCGCACTCATCGGAGGAGACAAGTCCGACGTGGACATTCGGTTCCACCCGTCGCGTGTGGAAGTGGTGCTAGCACTAGTATGGAGATGCGCGATGTTAGCTTCCCGCTCCATAACGGGGTCGTTTAAGCCATCGGCTCTGTTCCAAGCCGTGAATCTGCGTCCCCGAATGGAGCCGCCAGTGCCAGGGACGGCCATCGGGAACTTCGTGTGGCCATTTGCGGTGACGGTTGAGGAAGAGAAAGAGATGGAATTGCATGAGGTGGTGAAGAAGATGAGAGAGGGGATGACGGAGTTCATAGAGAAGAAGGCAAGCAAGTTCAAAGAAGGAGGTGGGTTTGAAGCAGTAATGGAATTTCTGGAGGAGAGGGGAGAGATGTTGAAGAAGGAGAAGGAGACAGTGGTTTACAAGTGTTCGAGTTGGTGTAGGCTTCCATTGTACGAGGTGGATTACGGGTGGGGGAATCCAGTGTGGATGTCAAGTGTGAATAAGATGGTGAGTAATACAATTGCTTTGATGGATGTGAAAGATGATGGAGTTGAAGCCCTGGTGACATTGAATGAACAAGAAATGGATATCTTTGAACAACATCATGAGTTGCTTCAATATGCCCTCCTCAATCCTAGTATTGTCATTTGATCTCTGATTCTGTGTTTTTCGTAATTTATATAAATAAATAAATATATATTATGCATTTATCCTCTTTCCGATCCATTGATATATACTACATCTGGTTCTTAATATAAGAACTTGTTTTACTTTTATTTTGGTCCTAAATATAAGACTCCAATCTATTTTATCTGTCATATTTATATATTTTTTTTAAGATAGTCCTCCTAACAATAGTAGTTATAACCAATACACTTAATTAGTAAGGATATTTTAGGAAAAACAACATATATTTACCACAAATAACTAACTTAACTTCTTTTTTTAATCTCCTCAAATTAATCAACTAGCTCTTATAATTAGACCGGAGGTAGTATATTGTTTTTCCTGAAATAATCAAAGTCTCTTTTTTTTTTTTTGTGTTTTTAGGTATTTGAGCATTCTAATACATCCCGTTTAACTTATTATGAAGCATACCTACTTTCTGTATGAAAACAATTCTATAATTTTTTATTGAAAGGAATGGTCCGGTTTCAATTTAATTTATGAAAGGTAGGTAATAAGTCATTAGAATTCCACGTACTGTTTCATTGAAATAGAAATGAAGAGAAGACCCAGCGTTTAATGCATATATACATAGATATATACGCTACTTCATCACTAAGCCTGTAAACCATCCTACCGGCAGCTACATTGTTGGGGGGAAAATGGCTGTTACAACTTTACGAGGTCGACATAGCGCAAGAGTTTGCCGTTTTACTTTAAACTATTGAAAATTAATAAAAAGAAACCTAAGCTAGCAGAATTACGAGAAGGTAAATATCACTTGTCCAGAGTGTACGCAATAATCTTGTTTTATTGAGTCAATATATTAATTTATAATACTATAAAATATATTCTTTCAATCCTTAATATAAGATCTAATTCTCATATTTATTAATTTTTTAAAATTATTCATATTAATATTCTCTCAATTATAATCAAATAAGAAATGGAGGTAGGATATTAAGAATGATGATTATGGTATTTTTTTTTTTAAAAAAATCATATCTCTTATAATTAACCAATTTACCTAACTTATTTAATCTAATTCAATTAATCAAATATCTTTCATATTAAGGACCGGGTTATAATAAATAACACTATGTAATCTATTAAACAAGGTCAACACGGCACATGTATATGACATTTATATTAATGTGTGAAAATATATTTTATTTGTTAAGCTAAGAATTAATTAAAGATAAGTCAAATCATATTCATTTACGAAACAAGAAAAGAAACCACACGCATGCCTCATCATCATAACCTACCGCAATTATTTCTCTACACACCGACCGGAGACCAATTCTCTAGACGTAGATTAGATTTTTTTATGCATAGATATTTTTTCATTGAAGGAAATTTTATTTGAGATATTGTCAGTATTTTTACATTGATTTTTGGGAAAATTGCAAAAAAAGACCTTGGAATTGCAAAAACGCAGATAGGGATCCTTGACAACTTCACTTTGGGTTTTGACAAGAATAATATGCTCTGAAGTTGTCAAAACCCAAAGTGAATTTGTCAAGGGTCCCTATCTGCGTTTTTACAATTCCAAGGTCTTTTTTTGCAATTTCCCCTTGATTTTTATTTGAGTCAACTTATTAATTAGTCACTTGGGCTTGTCTGGCTTTTCTTATAATCCGAATGTTACAACTAGCCCGGCCCATCTCAATGGACTTAACAAGATGGACTACCCAAGAATTTAAAACACCCCCCGCCCACGAACACACATATATTCAGTTCTTTTAAATTTTAATGATAGATGACTATTACAGGGGTCCAAGTCCTTCCTTACTAATACTATCAATCAATTATATTTAGAAGCCTTTTATTCGGGTTTCTAATGATCTTTCTGAGCTATCTACTCTAAGACCTTGTTTATCATACAACTGAAATCACTTATAAACACATTTTACGTAAATCAAGATAAAAAAATTTTTTTATATATTTGCTTTATATTATATAAATCACTATTGAAAAGATGCTCTAACTTAGTAAAAAATTTTATGTTTACTTAAAGATTTCTTTTACATGATGTGTGTGAAGTTGTGTCTTTATTTTTTCTTAGGTTTTTTTAACAATTTTATTTGTGATTTAACATATTATACTATGTAAAAATCTTTTTTTTTTTAATATCATTTTGTCTTATTTCCAAAAACAAAAAGACAATTTGTCAACTATACATATAAAAAAATTTCTTGACCTGGACACATAAATTTTATTAAAACTATCTCAAAATTTTGATCTTTCTTGCATGGAGGATTAACATCGTGATGAGCAGTGACGTTCTTGTGATTAAGCCAAACGAACATCACACCTAAAGCGTCAACCGTCCTCCTTAATCCTTCTTCTTCGACCTTCACCCCGAAAGAGTCACCGTTGTGAATCCATCGGGTGACCGAGCCGAAATGCGTCGTCCAGCACCTAATCGTCGCTCATGAAGCTTCCTGCCACTTCGTTGCTGCTGCTTTCTGGAATGGCGACCATGAAGCCTCTCGATTTGTTGGGGTACTCCACTGAAGACCCGTCGCGGCTTATAGCGACGGAGAGGGAAAATGTTGTGATTGGAGAGCCGCTGGAGTAGCTATTGTAATTTCATATCAAGTACACTTTTCCAACTTGCGAATAGGGAGCTCATTCTCAGTTTACAGCAACAAAGCAAGGTGGCTCAGTTGCCTGTCAAGCCGTCGCCTCCAGCTCAGGCATGTAAGCTTCTGATTCCCCTTTTGTTTTATGTCGACAAAAAGAATGTAGTATTTATTCTGTTGTTATTGAGTGAATGTGTTCTGATGCACAAACATGTCTAAACTCTCAAGATCGTGAAATTTGGAACAAAATCATATAGAGGACATTTATTTATCGATTCCTGAGCTTTTTTATTTCTAGTCTCATGCTTTTATCTTTTGTGCTTTTCATTAAGAGGGTAAAGAAGCTAGCTCTTGTATGTTATTTACCATATGGTTGCTGATGGAGGATGTGACTGATCTGATCATTGGGTTTGCAACTATTGTGATGGTGTTATAGCTACTACTACCTCCGATCCTAATTATAAGACTTAGTTGACTAATTTGAGGAGATTAAGAAAATAAGTTAAGTTAGTTATTTGTAATAAATAAGTGCTGTCATTCCTAAAATATCCTTGCTAATAAGTGTATTGACTAGAACTATTATCATTAGAAAAATTATCTTGGAAAAAAATATATAAATATAAGAGACAAAATGAATTGGGGTTTTATAATTAGGATCAAACTAAAAGTCAAACGGGGTCTTATATTAAAGACCGGAGTTAGTATTTCTTAAGCTCCTCAATTCTTTGCTCTCAATGCTCTCCAAATTATTCATTTACTTCTATTTCAGTTCTGCAAGCAATAAAACAAAAACAGAACCAGACAAGCCCTCGTATTGATTTAGGCTATGTTTGGATTAGCGTTTGAAATCACTTATAAGCATGTAAGCTAAGATAAAACTCCTCTCACATACTTACTCCATATTCTGTAAATTACGATTGAAAAGCGACCGATAAACTTTTGTGTAAATCACTTAGGCTCTTGAACTATTGGTCTTTTGGATTATGCAATAGAGAGAAACATGTTAATTAAGCAGAGGCATTTTAGTGACAGAGTGGTAATAGAATTAGAAGGGAGAGAAATCATGAGAGGAGCAATATAATTCCGTGGCGCTTAATAACAAAAACCGATCAAAGGGTACATAAACATGTGAAGAAGAGTTAGTCCCAAGAGTAGCCAGCAACAGCAAAGTTCAAACTTCAATGTGCAGCATCTTCTTCCTCACAAAACTTTGTGTACTCCTTCGCACCCATCAAGGAGTCCAACTCAGATGGATTCTTGGGCTTTATTTTAATCATCCAACCCTCTTCATAGGGGCTTGAGTTCACCTTCAAAAGACCCCCCAATAAAACAGTATAATCACATAATGTTTGACATTGAAGAACAATATAATGTTTGGGTTGAAGGTTAGAATTGCATACCAGGCCAGGTGCTTCAGAAAGCTTAGTGTTAACCTCAACAATCTCGCCTGAGATGGGAGAATTAACATCACTGGTTGCTTTAACACTTTCAACTGCTCCGAAGCTGCTTCCTTGAGACACTGAGCCACCTGCTTCTGGCAGATCCACAAATACTACCTCTCCCAGATGGTCCTGCAACACATAATAACATTCCTACTAATTAATTCTATTTCTACCCTTTTTCCCAAAGTTCACTTTCTAAGAACTTCAGGCTGCAGAATCTAAGATTAGCAAACACCAACTTTGACTGAACTGTTCACCACAAGAAATATATATGCCACAGTAATTCACATCTTTAGCAGATACTCAGAATTATGCGTAATGAATATTCAGAATAAGCAACCTGGGCATGGTCGGTGATTCCAACTGTAGCTACGGCGCCTTCGTGCTTGACCCATTCGTGGGAAGAAGCGTACTTGAATCCATCCAACACTGAACCAGGAACGAATTTGTATAATGACTGGTACCGTAAAGGAGAAAACAATGAAACAGAAGAAATATGAGTGAATATATGTATGAGAATACCAGTGGAGAAGCATCTGGCGAGATGTGGGCGAGAAGCGCAAGAGATTTTGAGGGCATTGGCAGTAGAAGAAGCCCACATTCTGAGCGCCATTAGTACGAATCTGATGTTGGAATTGTGAGTGTGAGCCTCTGGTTAGGGAGAGAAATATAAAACTGAAACAGAGGTTATATTCTATCTTGGATGAATGGTGGCCAACGAATGCCTCATCCTCATGTTCCCCGCCACGCTCTCCTCAATACAATATCTCTTGCTTTCCCCCGTAGTTAAACTGTAAGCACTCGTTCATTTTAACCTTCTGTCCTTTCTTTACCGTACTTTTTTTTTAAAAAAAAGCTAATTTTTTTTTCAAAAAGAAAATACAACCTCCGTTTTTTATTATAAAAGTTTGTTTGACTTTTAATTTGATCTTAAATACTCCTCCGGTCCTAATTATAAGACCCAATTGACTTATTTGAAGAGATTAAGGAAGTAAGTTAAGTTGGTTATTTATAATAAATAAGTGTTGTTATTCCTAAAATATCCTTGCTAATTAAGTATATTGGCTAAAACTATCATTATTAGAAGGATTATCTTGGAAAAAAATGCATAAATATAAGAGAGAAAATGGATTGGGTCTTATAATTAGGACCAAATAAAAAGTCAAATTGGGTCTTATAATAAGGATCGGAGGAGTATAAAACTCTAATATACTTTATCTTTTATATTTATTCATTTTTTCTAAAGTATTTTTTATAGTAGGTGCACATACTAAATGTTTCATCAAATAGTAATTATATTATAGCTAATATATATGATTAGCAAGAGTATTCTAAGAAAGATAACACCTATTTATAATAAATAACTAAATTATTTTTTTAATATCTCCAAATTAGTCAACTAGGTTTTATATTGAGTACCAGAGATAGTATATAATTCGTTTAATATTGGATATTTATATTTTTGTTAATATTATATTTTAAATATTATAATTTTATAATATATAAAAAATTTCATTTATATATATTCATTTGTTGTAGTATCATAAATCATAATTATTTTTCTAAACTGAAAAAGAAATTGAGTATAATGTCTGTTTGTTACGTGGAGATAACTAATTTTCTGGTCTAAAGCGGCTTCTGTAATGGGCATTCAACAAAGGCAAATCAGCCGGCTGAATTGGCTTATAGTGGGTCAAGACGAAGAGGCCTGGAATACATTGGGCTCGAGAAGGCCCATTATGCTATGTAGTGCCAATAAGGCAATAATGATCAGCTCTGCCTTTCCTGTCGTTTCTTCGGCTGTCTGTTCGTGTTTTGGTTTTTCCCCATGAACCTTTGACCCTGGTACTCAGTTTGGAGCTTGTTTTGCAGTAAATTTGGCGAGGAATCGATTGATTGAATTGAGTTTTTACGCGCATGGGTGAGATTGTGGAGGAGTTGAATCCTCTTGTTGGCGGTAACGATGGGCATGAATTCGAGAATATTAGTAAGGCGGAAATCGTCCTCAAAACCATTGGCCCTGCACGCCCTTCTCGTCTTCTTGTTCCATCTTCCATCAAGGTATTTGGATGCACTTGGTCTCTTTCATTTAATGCAATTTTGGGTGCTCGCGGTTTTTTCCCAGGGTGTTAAAGGTGGTTTTCTCTTTGCATGACATAGCTTCAGATTGCGTTGGAAATTATTTTTTTATCTTGGAATTAAGTCTGCAAAGATTAATGGCCATCTGAAGAATTCAATGAATATGCAAAGTATGAGAATCATTACAACTTCAAAGGTTTAGTTTTCTGGAAATTAGTACCTCACCCGGAAAGAGGAAGTTCTATTTGCGTTGTCTTTTTTTTTTTTTTTTTTAATTTTTAAATTTTTTTTAAATATTGACTGAATTGTTTTCATATAACTGGAATTTCCAACTACTTGCTCATGTTAATTACATGCTCTTAAATTTTGAACCTTGGGCTTATTGAGATTCGTCCTGACTGAGATTGTGTCATCTGTGGCCTTGGAATCTTTCCAACCATATTTTACTATTAACTGATCATATATATTTATATATATATATATATATATTCCCGACAAGCACTAAGACATTTGTTCGTTTCTTATAGATAAGTCTTATTTGGATAGTGAGGAACTTAATTCAGGTGGAGTGTTGAACAAAAGCCTGAGCCCAAAATATTTTTTGAGTGTAGACAAACAATCTACTCATTCAATAATTTCATGTTGTCTATAAATTGCTTCATAGGACAAATATGTTTTACTGGAAATCATTTCGGTGGACCTTAATTATTATTGTTGCATTTGATACTTTCACTTAATGAGTTTAATGCTCATTTGCAAATTCTTACAATGTGCTTATAATTTGTTTCTCCTAAATCATTTTTAGGTTTGTGATTTGAGAGGATTAGTTGCCAGCAATGGTCATTTACCGATTGATAATGTGAGTCTTATCCTGCGTGGAAATGTATTATGTGATATGAAGAATGGAGAAGATGTGTACATTCAACTCAATGACGGAGGTAGGTTTTGTCTTAGTATCTTTTTCGATCAATTTATTGTATTTCTTTTACATTAGCTAGCCCTATGTCATCTACGTACAGTATGGAGCAAAGTTTAGTTTCTCTGTGGCAGTATGGCACTTATCAAAACATGCTTGGAATTTGGATGATGATAAATCGTAAACATTTGAAGAACAATCAGCATACATTGTATAATTGCCTTTTTTGTGGTAAACGCCTTTTGATGTTGAAAATCCTTTCATGGTTTTGTTGTCAACGTGCAGCGTATCTCTAATGGCCCTGTATTGCAGATAGAATTTCATTAGATGTAATGCATCAGTAGATCCACTCAAGCATTTCTTTTTACTTTATTTGAAGGTCCAGTTACTTCAATTTTAAAATGCTAATTCAATTCAATTGATTATATAATAACATTTCAATATTCAATGCATCATGTAAGTGTTTCAGATTCCTTAATTGTTGCTGTCAAACCAAAGCCACCAGTTCGTGATGGATATGATGACGATGACGATGACGATCTGGTAAAAATCATTTTAATAATGTCTGAAGTGAATAATATAAAGTCAATTTTGTACTCAGTAGAATCTTTCTTTGATTGCCACTTCTCTAGAAGTTTAAGCTTCCCCGTTCGTCAAGTTGGTGGAAGAAGAGGCTTTACTCTTTTCTACACGATAACTTGAAGCTTCCAGGTAACAATCAACATTCTAATGATGTTCATTCAAAATATGCTTAATAAGTTGTGGCTTGGTCTCTGAAAAATGTCTAGTCAGTCATGGACTAATTATGATAATTTTTCGAGCATTCATAGCTTTTAAGTGTTATAAATGTTTTTAACCTTTTGCTGTCATTTTAATAGTCATATATTGGCATAAGGACACAATTGATTTAAATTTAAAAACTACAATCACTCAATTGATAGACTTATATATCATCTGAAGAGTTATTTCAGGTATGGGTATCACCTGGGGACAGCAACTTAAATTACTCAATAATGAATGAGCTACTGTATACTCTTCTAACGTTAATAATCTGCTGAACTTCTTCCTTTTGCGTTGATAGATATCATTTTGATGTTTATATTCTCTCTGAGCTTGAAAGCATGGGCTTTCACAATCATGTGGTTTATCCTGGCACCCATTGCCCATAAATGGGATCTGGGACCCTTATATGTAAGTCTACTGCCTATCATTGCATCCATATTTGAGACTTTTAAATGATCTGCTGCAGAATGTACTGTATGATCTTTCCAGACATGCATTTGTTCTAACTGATGTTTGTCTCCCTGTAATTTTTCCTGCTTGTTTTATTATTCTTATTATCTTTTGGCCAGGGTTTGTTTTATTCAAAACTGATAACGAATCTGATTTACATGCTTTTATATTATTTTTGTTGCATTTCATCATTTGTCACAACTTCTCCACAGATAATTGCTACGGGCTTTTCTCTAATTCTCTTTATATTATTTTTGTTGCATTTCATCATTTGTCACAACTTCTCCACAGATAATTGCTACGGGCTTTTCTCTAATTCTCTTTAATCTCGGAAAGCGCCAAGCTGGTGACGTCAGGTATAAACTGATCCAAAATGTTGTGTGTTACATTATGACAATTTAATCAAGGTGAGATCAATGCTTGTATATTTGTAAAAGTTCAAATAAGGATGGTGCATTTTAGCAACATTCAAGAATCAAACAATGAAAAAATACCAACGGGTGGGAAGAAGAATTTTGGTAAAATATTGATTTTTGTTGGGGATGAAAAAGTATGACAGATCTAATAAGTCCCTTTGTAATATGTGGGAGTTATAAACGCTTATTGTGTGAACTGTTGGCTGTTGTAGCTCTTCGGATTTTATTTGGTTGTTTTGGAGATTGGATCTTATTTGGAAAATCATCAAACCTCTTGAAACTTGTTTTATTACTTTTTCATTTTTCTCAACCCATCAAAGGGATTTTATAGGTAAGCTAGTCCAGCCATTATGTGCAAATATGAAGAAAAATGGGAAAAAATAAAAATCTTTCTAATCGGAGCTTGTTGATGATATAGATAATATTCTTATGAATATAAATTTACTAGTGACACCGATTGCCTAAATGAGGTTTTTATATTGATTTGGTCAGTATTCTTGATGACACAATATGTGTTTTGTGAATATAAATGTATTGGTTACATTACATTTGTTTACCTATATGATGTGTTCATATATTGATTTGGTTAGTATTCTTGACTGACACGTGCTTTCTTAATCAACATAATGCCACTTGATATGCAGCCTCTCTTCTTTGTTATGCGTGTTTTAATCACTGAAATTCTTGACATCTATTATTACCCAAGTAATTTTAAGGATTTCAAGGAGATACGAAGTGTATTTCTTAGAAATCATTTGATAGTTTCTGACTAATTTCTGCTCTCCAACACATGCAGCGCATATTCTATCTTCAATGAAGACTTTAGAGAGCTTCCGGGGACCCTTAATGCAGATCGTCTTGATAGAGATATAAGAGCAGGACAGTTTTGAACAACCACCTCCCAAAAAGAGGAAAATGAAAAACGAAAAACCACCGATTCCTTTCTTCATGCTAACACTGATGCGATGCCAATATGAAGTTTATATGTTCTCGAAGTTGGTAACCAACCACGGTTGTTCCCCCCCCCCCCCCGGTTTTGTATTTTATCTGTGTTCCCTGAATATCCTTTTTGTATAGTTTGATATATCAAGATTACAAATGAGGTACGCATGTTGTCTTGTGGATACCTGTTTCTGCATTTCTGGTCTCTGGGGTACTGTGAATTTATACATGGCAAGCTAGTTGACGCGTATACAGTGGCATGCCATAGCAGGATCCAAAAGGTTAAATGCGGTAGCTTATTTTCCCCCATGAAAGTAATAGTCAGCACTCTCACATGTGATCCAATACTTTAATTTTATTTATAGTGCATTCATGACCTCAAACCATAAATAAAATTAGAACATCAAGAGGTGCTGGATGCATTAATAAAACATCAGGGTAACAATGTACAATAAATAATATTATTTCTGATCCTTAATATAACAGTTAGTTGAATGATTTGAGAAGATTAGAGAAACTAATTAAATTAGTTATTTGTAATAAGTAGGTATTGTTTTTCTTAAAATATTTTCATTAATAAAGTATACTGGTTAGAACTACTATTATTATAAAAATTATCTTGAAAAAAATAGATAAATATAAAAGAGAAATTAGATTGAAGTTTTATATTTAAGATTAAAATAAAAATTAAACGAGTTTTTATATTAATAATCAGAGATAGTACGAGGATGGTAGATGCATATGGAAACCAAAGCCACTGTACTGGATAGGATGTTATTTTAATCTTTTTTGTTTTATTTTGAAAGTAAGGTTAAACGAAGTGATAAATCACTGAGATTGTGTTTAGTCAAAAAGGCGTTTCCAAACTGCCTTTGTGCGATCAACCTTCTAATCCAGGGTATGATAATCTTTTTAGGAACATCATTGATGATGCCAGAATGTTAGCAATTAGGGATTGGCAGGTTGAATTTCGTTATATTAGCAGAGAGAAAAATTCTCTTACTGATCCTTTAACGAGATTAGCTCATACGATTTAAAGAAATTTTCGTATCTTTGATTAGCCATCTCCTCATGATAAGTGACGATAGATAGTTTGCTTTATTGCTGTGGGACATCTTGTTGTAGGTTGTTATCTTTTCATTTGTTAATACTGTCTCCAATCTATTTGTAAAACTTTATTTATAAATTATAAATCAAATCTTATAAATAAGACCAGAAATAATACTACATCTGATCTTTAATATAAGATCCTGTTTGATTTTTATTTTGGTTCTAAATATAAGACTCTAATCTATTTTGTCTCTCATATTTATATATTTTTTTTCAAAGTAACCTTTTTAACAATAATAGTTCTAATCAATACACTTGATTAGCAAAGATATTTTAAAAAAAATAACACATATTCAGAATAAATAACTAACTTAACTTACTTTTTTAATCTCCTCAAACTAGTTAACTGACTCTTATATAGTATATAGTATCGCGTTTTCATGAGAAAATAAAAAAGATGGCCATTCATTGTACTGCGTCTCTGCCCCTAATTATGTCAAGTCAATCCTCACCCTCCCTCTTGGGATCTGTGTGTGATGTCAGAAGCTACGCGAACGTGGCTCTTGAGCCTCAATCATCAGGATCCCCCTAGCAGTCTAGTTTCCCTCTTTCCTGGGAAAAATTTAGCTATGTTGTTTGCTTTCGAGAATGGACTTTTCATGTCCAAGGCTTCTTTGAAGTTTGAACCACATTTAGGATAATTCTTTTTTAAACAGGATGTTTAAATATTTTAAAAGTATTTTTTTTTTTGGACAGAAAATATTTTAAAAGTATTTACAAATAAGCATTCAACATTTAAATTTTTTTTTACTTTTATATATACTGAAAATTTATTTTCATAAAAATATTTTGATTGTTGTCTGTTATTAAGTTTGATTGGTAAATTATATAGTTTGACAAGTGTCTTTAATAGTCAAACTTAATAACGGATAATAGTTCAAATAAAAAATATTATAAAATAAAAATTTTACGCTATATAAAAGCAAGAAAACAAAATTTTCAAGTGCTAGGCACTCTTTCATGTATATATTTTTGAATGATTTAAACACTTTATTTCTAGTTTTTCCAAGTGATTCCAATTCCAATAATACCATAATTATTACCCGGCTAAACATGTCAAAACTTTCAGGTGATTAATACTTATTGACTAGGAATAACAATTTCATCATAAATAAAAAATATCATTAAAAAATTAATATAAAAGACAAAAGAAATATGATTATATACTCTTTCAGTGCTTAATATAAGACCTATTTAACTAATTTGATTAGATTAAGGAAATGAGGTAAGTTAGTTAATTATAAGAAATGTGATACATTTTTTCTAAAATAACATAATCATCTTTCTTAATACCCCATCTTCATCTTGTATTTGATTATAGTTAAGGGAGTATCCATAGGGGTAATTTAGAAAAAATTGATAAATATGAGAAATGAGTCTTATATTTAGGATCAAAACCAACTCAACAATTGGGTCCTATATTAAGGATCGGAGGAGTATTTAAAATCAAGTCAAAGCTATCAAATAAACTTGTATTTAAAACCTGGGGGACTAGTTATCTTTTTCTAAAGATATATTCATTTAATTATTTCTTTAAAAGATTAGAATATTATTAATTACTATTTTTTAATTATACCCATCTTTTAATTAATACGAATTTCAAATTGAAAAATCACACATTAAATTTTTATTTTTTATATATATGACATGAATTAAAGAAAAAATCTCACAAAAGAAATTTAAAATTATTAAATTTTAAATAAAAAATTTTAACAAAAATATATTACTATTTATAGATTTAGTATTATAAAAACCTCTTAAAATGTTGTTAATAAATTTGGCTTGAAATTTAATAATTTCGAAAGAACGGTTGACAATTGCAGTTAGAGAAGGAGGCAAGTGGAATGCAGAAAGGCAGAGGAGGGTACGGAAAAGGGCCGACAAGGATGACGTCATAGGAGGATCCACCCAGTTAGGCTGCGTGGGCCCATGTCCCTCGCTCTGTCAAAAAGGTCGTTGACCAACTGCTGGCTTGTTGCTGGACCCCACTATACCCCAATGAAAAAGAACTTGAAAATTAGTCTTATTGGATGAGATTCGATAATTATTAAGTTTAGTTAGTTCGGATATCTCTTCCACAATGTGATTTTTTATCTACCTTTTTTTCCCCAACTCAGTCAAACGTTTGTGTTAGATTATTCCATCTAAAACCCAATGTCACATATTTAAGTAAATTAATACATAATATTTATACACACATATTCAACTTTTAATTTCAATTGACAAATAATACTTTCCTATTATTTAATAGAACAATGAAAGTGAAACTGAATTCTTTTTTTTTTTCCTCAAAAAAAATGTTCAGTTGTTCTTGAACCTGATATGCCTTTTCTATCATTGTGTGAAGGGGGTGTTTAGGCACTATAACAAGCTTCTCAGAAGTAATTTTTTACAAATCGAAATAAGCTTCTCTATATATTTATTTCGTATGCCATAAAAACACTTTTAAAATCATAGTTTTGATTCCATCTAAACACCCTATTATACTTTTAGGCTTCACAGATAGATTCGCACGAGAGTTGAATTGAAGGGAAATGAACTCACCATTTTGATTCTAGCTTAATGGTTAGAAAGATATTACCTTTGATCTAAATATAAGAGCTAGTTGACAATTTTAAATATAAGACTTCAATTTATTTTGTCTTTTAAATTTATAATGTGCTCTCAAAAATATTCTTATTAATTGTAAAGTATTTTCACCCAAGTATAGTTTTAATGTACATGATTGAATAAAAAGTAATTTAAGAAAGTCAAAACATATTTGTTATAAAAAAATAATTTAACTATTTTCCTTAATCTCTCTAAATTAATTACCAAGCTCTTATAATCAGGAGTAGTATTACTTTTTATATATTCAATTAACAGAATGAAAATCAGCAAAATATTGAAATATAAGGATGAAGTGAAGCCAGGATATATAATTTTCTAATACGAGAACTAAATAAACATGAAAAGAGATATGAATGGATTGGATATTCTGTTGTTGTCTTATTGTTGTTTATTTATATTTATTTATTTAATTTTTTTGGGATTTAGTTATTTGCAGGTAAGCACAAAGGTAATGGAAGTGGTGGCTTGCCGAGGAGAAATGTGATGTGGAAAACCTTGAAGGAGAATCTGATAAATGAGAAAGCTCTTCCAATTGTGATGTTAAGTTCAATATAATATGGTGATCACTCACCAATTAGCATATTAACCAAAAGGATTGGGTTAAAGAGAATAATGATGGACTTGAGAGATTAATAAGTCCAAAAGGATTCCATTTGAGAATGGCGTGTTGACGCCAACAAGAAAAAAGATGAATTGCAAGTAAAGCAATGGGAAGAGAACAAGCTAAGAAGAATCTTAATTAGTCATTCTGAACAATTAATGGAGGAATTTATATAATCACAACCACATGAACGCCATTTGATATTGTGTTTATGCTGTATTATTGTATTGTGTTCTATAGTGAAATCATTGTCTCTGAAATTTAAATCTCAAATATTATTAACTCTTTAGATTATTCTCTTTTAATTTGATAAATTGTTATAAATCAAGTTTTATTTATATTATACATAATGCTTTGAACCTATTTAAAGCCAACAAAGTTTAGGCCTTGAAATCTATTTAGAGCCTACCTTTAATTATGCAGTTTTTGATAGGTTCAATGTCTTTTCAAAATTAATCAATAAAGCCTTCTTAGAGGTCTATTTAATAAGTAGGCTTTTAGAAAGGCTTTAACCCAAACTTAGCTCATCAAAGCCTGCCTTAGGTCTTAAATCCATGTTACTTAGACTTCTTCAGCCAAAACCTAACATAATCTATTTCAAGTTCCAACTACTTGTGATAACATTGTTAGGTTGGGAATTAATATGGTTGGAAA